CTTTAACTTTCAACATCATGGTCTGCAGCCGCAAGGGTGCTGACAGCAAAGGTTTGCGAAAAATTGTCTCTAATGGCTTGTGATCAGTCTGTACTACTGTTTCCTTTCCTAGGATGTATTCTCTGAATTTCCTGTGCTGAACACAATCGCCAACATTTCTTTCTCAATAGGTGACCAGTTTAGCTCGGATGTACGAAGCTTTCGAGATGCATATGCTATGGGTTTGCCTTCTTGCAGAAGGACAGCAGCGACTGCATTCTTGCTAGCATCACATTGTATCTTGACATCCTTCTTGACATCATAATAGGCCAGCATAGGTGCTGTGCAGCATAGATCTTTGATGCGTTGAAAAGCGTTTTCCTGTGGTTTGTCCCAATGGAAGACTGTATCTTTCTTTGTTGGGTGCCGTAGCGGCTCTTCTACCTCAGCCAAGCGTGGTAAGAACTTGGCTAGGTATTGAACTGATCCCAGAAAACGGCGGACATCATCTTTGTTCTCGGGTGCTGGCATGTTTTTCATCGCTTCGACTTTCGTGGGATCCGGTTTGAGCCCATGTGCTGATATGAGATGTCCCACGTACGGCACTTCCTTTTTCCTGATCTTCACCTTGTCGAAGTTTAACTTCAAGTTGTAGCTCTGAGCACGATCAAGGACTTGTCGTAAGACAGCATCATGATGCGCTACGTCACGGCCAGCTATCAGAATATCATCCATAATGGCATATGCATATTCTATTCCCTCTAACATGTCATCCATTGCTCTCTGGTACATCTCTGGTGCGGATTTGATGCCAAAGTGTAGCTTTAACCGACGGTATCGACCTAACGGTGTGTTCATCGTTGTAAGGAGACTGGATTCATAGTCTATCTTCATTTGAAGATATCCACTCTTGGCATCCAATACTGAGAACACTTTGGCTCCGGGGATTTTCGTGGTAATTTCTTCCACTGTTTTACTAGGGTAGTGTTCTCGCTTTATCGCTTTGTTCAGGTCGGATGGGTCGATGCAGATGCGGATCTTCTCTCTTTTCTGTGCGACAACCATGGAATTAACCCAATCTGTGGGCTGGGTTACATTTGCCAAATGCCCCTCTTTTTCCATTTCTTTTAGCTTGCTCGTAATCTTTGGTAGGAGCGCTGCGGGTTGCCTTCTTGGACCATGTACTACAGGGGTCACTGTTGGGTCAATCTTAATCGAGTATGTCCCTGGCATCGATCCTGTTGCATTTTCCAAATCTGGATGTTGGATAAGAAGCTCTTTAAGGTTGTGGTCGATTTCGTGTATTCGCTTTACTAGGTTTAAGGCTTTGCACACTTTTCCAGATAAGATTGGATTATGTGCCTTGTCAATGATGAAGAATTTCACCTTGATCTCTTTTTCCTTGTGTTTCACTTTTATTGTGGTGCATCCTCTGGGCACAATCTGGTGTTGGCTATATGACACAAGTCTCTTGTGTGTTTTCTTAATCCGTGCATTGGGAGCAACACTTTGTAACTGCTTAGCGGTCATGACACTAGCCTGTGCACCTGTATCCAGTTGGCATTGCAATCTCCCATGGCCAACTTGAACAGTTTCCCACCACTCGTTATCTCTCGGCATGTCGTTTTCATTACCAACCTCATGGATCCTCAGGCCTCTGAGGTGCAGTAAATGCAAATTTTTGGCTTGCTGGTATTCATCATCAGAACTGTCTGTTTCGTCACTAGAGTAGGAATCTTTACCCATGCCGTGTATTTTCTTTTCTGCTCCTCTACACACTCTACCAAAGTGTCCCATCTTTCCACACTTGCGGCAGGTTTGGTTCTTGGCTGGACATTTCTCTTGTGGTTTGTGACTATTGTAACCACATCTTTGACACTTTGATGGGGCTTGTGACTCTTTTTCCGTGGATCTAGGTGTATTTGACCTCATTTGGTGCTTGCGTCTGGGAAATCTGTTGGGCTTTGTTGATACTCCATGCACCGTCACGTTTGGATCTTCCCCTGTGATTACTTGCATTCCATCTTTGGTAGCTTCAAATAATCTCCCTATATTTATGGCTGTTTCTAATGTTAAGTTTTTACTCTTTTCCAAACACCGTTGTTTTACCCTTTCGTCAAAAGACTTGCATGCTATAGCATTTCTTATTAGCTTGTCTGTTTGCTCAATGTCTAAGCCACGAGCCAATAATTTCAGGTCGGTTACAAAATCGTCAAATGTTTCTCCTTGTTTTTGGCACCTCCTGTCAAATTGAACTGCTGCCATAATAGGATTTTTCTTCGATGCTAATTGTTCTTTGAACTTTGCAGCAACTTTATCAAGAATATCTTTCTCACTTACTTGTTGGGTATTTTCGCCTGTTCCAACTTGAATTGTGTTCCATTGAAACGTAAGGTACATTTCGCGGCCTTTGTCTCCCACAAAACTCATGAGATTGCAAATCTTTTCCTTCTCTGTGCACTTGCTTAACGGGCCTCCAAATGCGAATTCACAATGCTGATAAAATCGCTCCCATTCTTTGTCGAGATCTTTCGCTTGCCAGTTCATGGTGGGCCAATTATTAGAGCTTGGGTATCCTTCTGCCATTTTTGTTGCTTTTCTTCACTCAATTCGATTTTTATTCCTTAAAACTAAAACAAAATCCCGTTTCCTGACACCATGTTGTATATATTTTCATACGGCCGCCATCTTTAATCTCAAGCAACACTGATCTCTACCAATTAACTGAATACATAACAGTAACATTATCTAAATTCCTTTCATGTTGTTTGGATGATTCAACACAAGGAGCAATATAGCGCAGTGGAAGCGTGCTGGGCACATAACCCAGAGATCAATGAACCGAGACCATTTTCTTTAATTATCCGCTAGTCTAGTACTAATCTTTCGAGAGAACTAGTTTCGAAAATAATAGGAGCGTTATCGGAACGTTATCGGGACGTGCTGCTCTCGTGGCCCAGTTGGTTAGCGCGTCGTACTTTTTTTTTATTATTATTATTATTTGGTGTTTAATTACACATTTTCGCATAAACAATGAATTACAATGTGTTTACATTCAAAGTCAAATTTAGTTTATAGTTATTTACACGGTCATAAAATTTAAGGTAAAATAGGTTACGAATATTATTAATATATAAGTTAAGATCGAATAATAAGTTAAGAATATTGTTAAAATTTAATAATTTAATCTAAGGTAGGTTCCTTTCTCCATTTCATGGCATTCAGTTCAATAATTGCTCTTGGAAAGAAACTGTTTTTAAAGCGTTCAGTTCTGCATTTATACAATGACAGATTATTTAAGTTTCTAATATAATATTGTTGAGCACAAGCTCTGGATTGTGTCACGTGTTCAACAAGGGGGCCTGCTCGTTTAGCAATCTTCTGTAAGGTATTTATACAGGTTTCGTTTCGCCTGTCGCTAAGTCTTGTGCAATTAGCCAATTGAAGAGCTTCGTCGTATGAGTGGCCAGGAAAGATAATGCGCATGGCACGCTTTTGTACTCTTTCCAGTTCGTCAGACAGATAGCGAGGTATCGCGTAATTCCATTCTTCACAACAGTATTTCAGAATAGAACGAATAAGCAGTACTTGAGTATATGCGAAGGTCGAGGGTTCGATCCCCTCCGAGAGCAAGTTTTTAGCCATCCATCCCTATCTTTCTCTAACCAACAAGCCACGGCAGCAATTCGTCTTATTAAATGTCCTTATTATTTACGAAAACTTGCTATTTTGAAAAAATTTGTACACCAAGGATACACTAGCCAACAAAGCCACTGCAGCAATTCGTCCTAATCGCCATATTATTTACGAAACCTGTTGTTTTGAAAACAATTTTAACCAAAACGCTATAGGGTGACATATGCACTCTTGTGCGCGCAATAATTGCCGGGCCCATAACCCAGAGGTCAAGCAGAACGTGATCATTTCCTGCTATTATTATCATTACTATTAAAGTCGAGGGTTCGATCCCATCCGGCAGCACGTTTTTAGCAATCCTTCCCTAACCAACAAGACCACCGCAGCAATTCGCCCTAGTCTCCATATGATTTACGAAATCTGTCGTCATGAGAAAAAGTTCGATCAAAATCCGTGGGCGACGTCTGCATGCATCCACGCTCAATAATAACAATAGCTTTTGGTTGCTGGGTTATGTGGCCAGTAGGCAATATAGTTTATTGTAGCACATTCTTGTCTGTTTCAAAATCTATTTCATTGAATTGGTGTCATGGCTTCATTACACGTTTAAGGGAAATATGTTGCTTTCTGATTTTCTAGATTTGAACAATATATACAACTGGCTGATACCAAGCAGCGAGGAGCAGGGTGGCGCAGTGGAAGCGTGCTGGGCCCATAACCCAGAGGTCAATGGATCGAAACCATTTCCTGCTATTATTATTATGGAGCTTTTATGCACAACGATGCCAGCAACCATTTTCTTCTGAACAGAATAATTTTCGAAAATAAAAAGACCTTTCTCCTGACCTGCTACCGTCCCCCTGTTTGTTAGTGCGTCGTGCTTATAAACTGTACCACTGTTACTATTTATTTCAATTGTGCATTCGGCTTGTCGTAGTCTATCCATCAAGTCCAAGAATGAAGACGCCAATGTGATTCACGACTAATATATTGACTGTTGTTTTTTGAAGATATTTTTGAATTGCTGGTATATCTTGAAACGGCTTCGTGCTTGCAAATGGAATGAAATAAGAGAAATCTCAGAAACAAACGTAATTTATATACAATGTGGATTGTCTGCCATGAATACTCCAAATACAAGGTGTCTCAAAGGTGATATACATCAGGTTCAAAAGAGAGGCGACAAATTATTAAACAAATGGCAGTGGTGGGATTCGAACTCACGTCATCGAAATGATTGGTGTCTAAAACCTGCGCCTCACATCACTCGGCCACGCTACCGAAACAAAGGAAAGCAACTTTTGTTCAATAATATAAGTCCACAATCATTTAAAATTCTGTGGTGTAACGGCTAGCTAAGTCACGGCAGAATCTTCGGCAGAATCGCAAGTGTAACATTATCTAAATTTCTTTCATGTTGTTTGGATGATTCAACACAAGAAGCAATGTAGCGCAGTGGAAGCGTGCTGCGCACATAACCCAGAGATCAATGAACCGAGACCATTTTCTTTAATTATCCGCTAGTACTAATCTTTCGAGAGAACTAGTTTCGAAAATAATAGGAGCGTTATCGGAACGTTATCGGGACGTGCTGCTCTCGTGGCCCAGTTGGTTAGTGCGTCGTACTCTTTTTTATTATTATTATTATTTGGTGTTTAATTACACATTTTCGCATAAACAATGAATTACAATTTGTTTACATTCAAAGTCAAATTTAGTTTATAGTTATTTACACGGTCATAAAATTTAAGGTAAAATAGGTTACGAATATTATTAATATATAAGTTAAGATCGAATAATAAGTTAAGAATATTGTTAAAATTTAACAATTTAATCTAAGGTAGGTTCCTTTCTCTATTTCATGGCATTCAGTTCAATAATTGCTCTTGGAAAGAAACTGTTTTTAAAGCGTTCAGTTCTGCATTTATACAATGACAGATTATTTAAGTTTCTAATATAATATTGTTGAGTACAAGCTCTGGATTGTGTCACGTGTTCAACAAGGGGGCCTGCTCGTTTAGCAATCTTCTGTAAGGTATTTATACAGGTTTCGTTTCGACTGTCGCTATAAGTCTTGTGCAATTAGCCAATTGAAGAGCTTCGTCGTATGGGTGGCCAGGAAAGATAATGCGCATGGCACGCTTTTGTACTCTTTCCAGTTCGTCAGACAGATAGCGAGGTATCGCGTAATTCCATTCTTCACAACAGTATTCCAGAATAGAACGAATAAGCAGTACTTGAGTATATGCGAAGGTCGAGGGTTCGATCCCCTCCGAGAGCAAGTTTTTAGCCATCCATCCCTATCTTTCTCTAACCAACAAGCCACGGCAGCAATTCGTCTTATTAAATGTCCTTATTATTTACGAAAACTTGTTATTTTGAAAAAATTTGTACACCAAGGATACACTAGCCAACGAAGCCACCGCAGCAATTCGTCCTAATCGCCATATTATTTACGAAACCTGTTGTTTTGAAAACAATTTTAACCAAAACGCTATAGGGTGACATATGAACTCTTGTGCGCGCAATAATTGCCGGGCCCATAACCCAGAGGTCAAGCAGAACGTGATCATTTCCTGATATTATTATCATTACTATTAAAGTCGAGGGTTCGATCCCATCCGGCAGCACGTTTTTAGCAATCCTTCCCTAACCAATAAGACCACCGCAGCAATTCGCCCTAGTCTCCATATGATTTACGAAATCTGTCGTTATGAGAAAAAGTTCGATCAAAATCCGTGGGCGACGTCTGCATGCATCCACGCTCAATAATAACAATAGCTTTTGATTGCTGGGTTATGTGGCCAGTAGGCTCTATAGTTTATTGTAGCACATTCTTGTCTGTTTCAAAGTCTATTTCATTGAATTGGTGTCATGGCTTCATTACACGTTTAAGGGAAATATGTTGCTTCCTGATTTTCTAGATTTGAACAATATATACAACTGGCTGATACCAAGCAGCGAGGAGCAGGGTGGCGCAGTGGAAGCGTGCTGGGCCCATAACCCAGAGGTCAATGGATCGAAACCATTTCCTGCTATTATTATTATGGAGCTTTTATGCATAACGATGCCAGCAACCATTTTCTTCTGAATAGAATAATTTTCGAAAATAAAAAGACCTTTCCCCTGACCTGCTACCGTCCCCCTGTTTGTTAGCGCGTCGTGCTTACAAACTGTACCACCGTTACTATTTATTTCAATTGTGCATTCGGCTTGTCGTACTCTATCCATCAAGTCAAAGAATGAAGACGCAATGTGATTCACGACTAATATATTGACTGTTGTTTTTTGAAGATATTTTTGAATTGCTGGTATATCTTGAAACGGCTTCGTGCTTGCAAATGAAATGAAATAAGAGAAATCTCAGAAACAAACGTAATATATATACGATGTGGATTGTCTGCCATGAATACTCCAACATCAGGTTCAAAAGAGAGGCGACAAATTATTAAACAAAAGGCAGCGGTGGGATTGGAACCCACGTCAGCGAAATGACTGGTGCCTAAAACCAGCGCCTTACATCACTCGACCACGCTACCGAAACAAAGGAAAGCCACTTTTGTTCAATAATATGAGTCGACACTCCTTTAAAATTCTGTGGTGTAACGGCTAGCTAAGTCTCGGCAGAATCTTCGGCAGATCCGCAAGTGTAACAATATCTAAATTTCTTTCATGTTGTTTGGATGATTCAACACAAGAAGCAATAGAGCGCAGTGGAAGCGTGCTGCGCACATAACCCAGAGATCAATGAACCGAGACCATTTTCTTAATTATCCGCTAGTTTAGTACTAATCTTTCGAGAGAACTAGTTTCGAAAATAATAGGAGCGTTATCGGAACGTTATCGGGACGTGCTCTCGTGGCCCAGTTGGTTAGTGCGTCGTACTTATATGCAGTACTTGAGTATATGCGAAGGTCGAGGGTTCGATCCCCTCCGAGAGCAAGTTTTTAGCCATCCATCCCTATCTTTATCTAACCAACAAGCCACGGCAGCATTCGTCTTATTGAATTTCTGATCATTCAGTTGTGCATTTACAACTATTGATTAGGAAACCGAAGTTTGTGAAGAAACATTTGCTTCTTCGTAATTTGCGGGCGGTTAATATTCATAAATTCAAAACGGATGTACTAAATTCTTTTCTTCTTAAGAATTTTACGACTATGGATTTGGTATCATTGGTAAATGAGTATGATTGTCTTCATACTATCTTAGATAACCATGCACCGATTAAATCCCGGGAAATTACATTGCGCCCTAAGGCACCCTGGTATACTAACGAAATCAATGATAAGAAACGAATTCGGAGACAACTTGAGAGAAAATGGCATAAAACAAGGACGAATGCTGATTGGAATCGCTATAAACAACAATGTTATGCTGTAAATAAACTTATCGACTCCTCAAAATCGGCTTACTATACCGACTTAATTAATAATGGATCATCTGATCAAAAAACCCTTTTCAAGACTGTAAGCAATTTGCTGCATACAAATGCGATTATTCGCTATCCATCTTCTCCTGACCCAATGTCACTTGCCAACTCATTTAGTGATTTCTTCACTCAGAAAATTGTTAAAATACGAGGTGATATCGATGATGAACTCTTGAGTAAAAACATAGAAAATCCTATACCTGATGCTGATTCATGTCCTTATGAATTTCACACCTTCAGGGAGGTTGGAAAAGACGAAGTGCTCCATTTAATCCAACGTATCGCAACTAAATCCTGTTCTCTGGATCCACTCCCGGTGGTCATGCTAAATCACTGTTTTAAAGACATCTTACCCGTTGTAGTTAGAATAATCAACCTCTCCTTGGAAAGTGGTACAATGCCTGACTCTTTGAAGATTGCTGTTGTTCAACCGCTATTAAAAAAGTACAATCTTTCCTATGAAGAATTCTGCAGTTTTCGTCCAATATCAAATCTGAAATTTGTCTCGAAATCTATTGAGAAAGCAGTTGCTGTACAATTAACTGATTATCTTACTGAAAATCATCTACATGAGAAATTCCAGTCTGCTTATAAACCTTGTCATAGTACTGAAACAGCGCTATTGAGGGTTCAAAATGATATCCTTCAAGCTCTAGATAACGGTGATTCTGTTATTCTTGTCCTACTGGATCTGTCGGCGGCTTTTGACACCGTGGATCATTCAATGTTATTAACAAGACTATCGAAACGCTTTGGCATAAGGGGTCGTGTGTTGGATTGGCTTACCTCATACCTTACATCCAGGAAACTGTTTATTCGTGTTGAGGGAACTGATTCGTTATTGAGTGATCTTGATTGTGGTGCACCTCAGGGATCTGTGTTGGGTCCTCTGTTGTATTCACTCTATACTGCCCCTCTCGCGGATGTGGCTAGGCGCCACAATCTGCGCTTTCACTTTTTTTCTGATGATGGGCAACTTTACATTGCATTCAAAACGAATGATCGTGATGATTTAATATCATCTAAGATCCGTATGGAGAAATGTATACTTGAATTGGGAAACTGGTTGATGTTGAATAAATTGAAACTAAATAGTGGCAAAACGGAGCTTATATTAGTCCATTCACGCTATCATCTGATGCCTCCCTTAAATTATATCATGGTGGGAAAGGAAAAAAATTGTGCCAACTGTTTCAGCAAGAAATCTGGGGGTGATTTTTGATGAGTGGATCAGATTGGGCGAACATATTAATGGTATTTGCAAGTCAGCTTACTACCATATTAGGAATATTTCAAGAATTAAGAAGTATCTACCTCGAAATTGCTTAGAAATAATTATTCATGCATTTATAACTTCAAGATTGGATTATTGTAACTCCCTGTTGTATGGTGTACCCAAATATTTGCTTCAGAAGCTTCAGAGAGTCCAAAATACTGCAGCTCGTTTACTAACCGATACTAAGAAATCGGCGCATATCACCCCAGTTCTTATCGAATTGCATTGGTTACCTGTCCAATACCGTATTCAATTCAAGATTATACTTCTTGTCTACAAAGCTGTTAATGATCTTGCTCCATCGTATCTGAAGGAAATTATGCTGTGTCGTACTTCGCAGCGTACTCTTCGATCAAATGGAAATGAATTGCTCCAGATTCCTTATTCTAGACTAAAGACATACGGAGACAGATCGTTCTGTGTTGCTGGACCAAGATTGTGGAATGATTTACCTGTTCATCTTCGGATGTGTGAATCATTAACCATTTTTAAGAAGGTTCTTAAAACATATCTTTTTAACTTGTTTTTAAATAGTGTATGATGTATTCTATAGTTTTAACATTCTTAACACTAGTTTTTAAGATTGGATTTTGTATTACTGTAAAGCGCCTAGAACAGTCTTGGTTTGTGCGCTATATAAATGTTTATTATTATTATTATTATTATTATTATTATTAGTTTGTCTGTTGTTTGTTCGACAATCGGTGACATGTTTTTCTTTATATTTGCAAAAAAATATTGAACAAACCTTTTGCATGTATAAAATAACTCAAACATTTCTTGGCCATCACATCGAGTCACACATTCGGCACATGAAGAGAAACATGAACAATCATGCACAAAGACAATGGAACAATCTGAAAACTGTTTCAACATTGACTGTTTGACCTCGAGATCGAAGCCAAGAAATACAACAATTTCACGCTATATACATGTTGTGTACCGGTATTGTTATATGACAAGCGTTTAATAAATTGTATTTTCTTCTATTTTTTGTTGTCAACGTTTGTAAATTCAATTCAATCAAAATCAGTTAGACAAGTACTCCCCCACCCCCTCCAGGGGGAGGAGCGAGGATTAGGAATTCCAATTATCAAACTCAGTATAACTATTTAGTTACGACTTGACGGGAACTATCGCGGTCAATCGTTTTCTTTTTATAAATACTCTTCATTTTTCATAGTCTTCACGTCTTCATTTTTTCTTGCTACTGTCAGTACTGGACATTTTAATCTCTTTTGCTAGCTCACGCCATTTTAATCCATTCTGCCAGACCATCAATTACTCTAACTCTCGTGTCTTCGACCAGCCTCTCCCTTCCGTCAATTCATTATCCACATTCGATTTTTGGCAATCCACAACTTCAAAACACCAGCCTTTTGCTACCGACTGAAAAAAAAGTTAAAAAAGAAAAGTAATCCATTGCACTAAATTTGAAAAAATACCAGAACCTGAGAACCAGTTTCCAGAAATTATGGAACGCGAAAAATAAGAAATTTGAGAAGAAAATTAAGAAATTTGAAAAATAAAAAATATCAAGAAATGTAAATAAAAATGTATTTTCATTTTTTGGTATTGTTATTTTGAAAAAATTGCACTGTTCAATCAGAATTGAAAATTTTTTTATGTATATTATTGCAACAGAAATACTTCGTCTCATTGGCACTTAGGTGAGCTTCCCAGCAAACCAGGTTCTTGTGAACATGCTCTTGTCCATTGTTCTTGTGTCTATATTTTACTCACCGTTTTTTGCTTCAGCAATGCCAGCCAGTTTTCGTTTTTTGGCTTTCTCGTCGTCTTTAATGATGACGGCTCCCGGCAATTTTGGCGTAGGCAGCAAATTTGGCGCCGTAGGCGCTGGTTTATTGGAGAAATATGGCATCTGTAAAGCCTTAGAAATAAAAACGTAGCGTTTGTTATCAATACAAAATATTCTTGGTTAGGTTTGCAGGTTATGGTAACTTTTTTCATACTACAGTCTAGCTAATGACCAGGCCGTCCTGGTTAATTAAGCCGTCCTGGTTAATTAACCGGACAATTAATGTTAGGTAGATAAATAACCAGGGGCCCAGAGGTATATAGAAAAAGTATCAGAACATCTACATTTTGCAGCAATTTTCAGTCAGCTTTTTTTTTACTTTTTCCTATGTATTGTAATCTTTTTCAGAAAATTTTGAGCCCTAGGTTAACTTTTAACCAGGCTTTTTTAGAGTGTACAGTACTACCCCCAAATTTGTAGTTACAGTACCTGACTTGATGAAACTCTACCGTTGGGATTACAATCCAGTAATCTGGCCAACAGGTCAAGTAAATCATCACCAGCAGCAGTGAAGATGTCTTTCAGAGGTGTGCCTGGAAATGACTTGAATTCCACGTAGTCAGGCAAAGTTTTCATTCCCTATATGCAAACAAACAAATCATATGTCGGGTTGTTAGTTTCTTAAGTGCAAATTGTAAGTGAAAGTTGTTGTTGATGTTACTACTGTTATTGTTTTATTGTTTTAATTGTTGTTTTTGCTGTTATTGTTGTCCTTGTCGTTTGTTTCTTGGTAGTTGTTGTCGTTGTGTTGTCATTTTTGTCACCGCAGTTGTTATTGTTCTCTTCCTGTTGTTGTTTCCGTTGCTTCTGCTGCTGTTGTGGCTTCTGCTGCTTCTGTTGTTGCTATTGTTTTTGTTGTTGCTGCTGTTGTTGCTGTTGTTGTTGCTGTTGTTGTTGCTGTTGTAACAGTTGTTGCTGTTGTTGTTGCCGTTGTTGTTGCTGTTGTTGTTGCTGTTGTTGTTGCTGCTGTTGCTGTTCCTAGATAGATATATGCTATGAACCCTATTTACATTTAAAAATATTAAAAAAATCAAATCATTATCTAAAATGTATATTAGAATTGTGCATGATAAACTGTCATTAAGTCTGTTCGTTTTACTGTAAACACAGGAAGTTCAAAATTTCTATGATTCCTTAAAAAGTGATCGTCCTGCTGTTGTTGTTGTTGTTGTTGTTGTTGCTGCTGCTTCTGTATCACGTTACGTAGTTGTTAACTTGATTTCTAACCACATCTTACCGGCCACGAATCTTCAGTGGGCGTGCCAAGTGCTTGAAATATTCTACTGAGTTGGTCCAAATCTGACTCCCCTGGTAGAAATGGTACCTAATATATAAATCATACAAATTTACAAAAATTGAAAATTCTGTCAAGATAATAATGCCGAACAAATGAGTTATTAACTACTACGAAATAATGTCATTAAATACACAAGAAAATTATTGAAACGCTAACTATATTAATAAAGCATTATGAGGGTGACAGAGAGATTTGGCATCCTCTCAAATTTGATGTTCGTATTCCAGTTGAGTGCAGTTGCTTTCCCCTTACCATTACCTTCTCCGCTCTGCTCTGCTACCCTGGTGGTGGTGATGAGAACGATGATAATGATGGTAATGATGATAGTGGTGATGATGGTGATGCTGATGGTGATAATGTTGATGATGGTGATGATAATAAATAGTGGTGCATGATGATGGCGATGACTTATTTAAACACGTTACACCTTGGAGCTTATGTTACAACTTGATCGATCGTGCACTTTTAGGGTCATAAAATTTTATAATTGATATGCAACTGCTTACTCTTAAAAGTAGTTCGGCCAAGATACATCCAACAGCCCAGATGTCAACACCTGTACCATAAATCCGAGCACCAAATAATAATTCTGGACAGCGATACCATCTGAAACAACACGTTAATTATAAAAATACATTCATTGCTTGTATTTCGTATCGGGCTAATAATACCTCGTCACAACTTGATGCGTGTAGATTCTGTTTGGACTGCCATAGTATTTTGCCAAGCCAAAATCTCCAAGTTTTAAAATGCCATGTTGATCTATCAGCAAGTTATTTGGTTTTAAGTCCTAGACAAATCGCAAAAGATAATCGGATTTATACATAAGTAGTCGTGCGGAAACGATGGACCAGAAAATTAAGCCTTTAAAGAAAAAGAAGAATTTACATGTATATTATACACAAATTTTTAATTACTTACAAAAAGACATTCTCGTATTAATCGACAAAGTATTCTGACTCACCCTATGAAGTATCCAGTTAAGATGAAGATATTCCAGTCCTTGTAAGGTCATTAAAATAAAACTCTTTATATGTGCTGGTGTTAACATGATACTTGTGTCTTTTACTATTACCTGAAGGAGAGCAAAGTTTGGTGCTCAACAACAAAATAAAACTATAAGTTTAAACATAAAACAATTACAACATAAAACAACAACATAAAACAACAACATAAAACAACAACAATGACAAAAACAACAATACTGTATGAAACAACAATGTAAAATAACCAGGGCTCAAAATAACGGGAGATAGGTCTCTGGTCAAAATGAACGGTCAACTTGACTTTAGCTTGGTCAAAATCTGTTTTTGACCGGTCATTGATACGCTTACACCAACAGTGAAACAAATTACTGGTCTATTAGAAACTTGTTTCGATACATCATAGTTTCATGTTTTAATTCAGGACGTCAGCAATCACATTGGAAGGTATGAAAATGTGGCCGGTCAAAATGACAGTGCAAAACAACATCATCAATATAAAACAATGTATCATATTTTCATTTATACCTCCAGATCTGTTTCCATGAAATCAAACACCAGACTGACATTAGACTTATGTCCAAATACATCCAGCAACTTTATTGGAAATGAAAACAAGAGCATCATGACATATCAATGGTAAATATATATACATGAATATCAAAACAACTGTAATAGATACACAACTTCAGCAGTGATGGTGGAAAAAAAAGATAATTTATTGAGCTAAATTTGAGCCACATCAGCACCTCGGGGCATTTTTTAGATCAGATTCTACCTCTGAAATTGCAACTTTGAAGCAGTTGGAAGCACCATTATATCATTCTATAGTAATCACATATTCCAAAGACATTGTGTTTCCCAAGACCGTATTTTTCATATACTCCAGGACATGGTAAAACTCAAACATAGCATTGCAGGACTTTGACAAGCTTCAAATTTTCCGGACTGTAGTGGGTTAGAATTACTAGCTATGAATAGGGATGGATCCAGCATGATCTGGTAGGGGGGGGGGGTGCTCTGGTGCCAACTGCCGAGTTGTGTTGGTCATGTGTGCTGCCCGCCCATCAACTACTGTATTTGAATTGTAATTGTTGTTCACAGTTCACTTATCATCATGTTATTACTCAAATTACTGTATTTCATTTTGTCTTTTTTGCTTTATCATGAAAAATAGCACCCCCTCTGGCCAGGACTAGGAGGTGCGCAGCCCCCCCCCCACCCCTCCAGTAAATCCATCCCTGGCTATGAACAAGCTACTGTCTTTACATAACAGACAAGAAATAAATTAGTGTATATGCTACTTACACCAATTATGTTTTCATGTGAAATTTCCTGCAGCAGTTTAACTTCCCTCAAGGCAGTTCTATTAATGCCTGATAAACAAAACAAAATCCTTAAATCAAGTATACATCAAGTTGTTAAAAACATTTAATATAATTTACTATTCTTAAAATTTCAAATGGTTTTTCAACAAAGCATTTTATATTTACATACCGTCTTTGGCCTCACTTCTTTTTCCAAGCTTGATCTTTAAAAGAAAAAATACCCAAATTTTGTTTTGTTTCTCATTGTCAACGTTTCCTGGTATAGTCCATGTACTAGCTAGTAGTTAGCATACAAATTAGAGTTAGGTCCCATGATCATCCCCACAAGAAGCCCCCTTAATTACTCACTGAGTGACAACACTCTTCCCTAATTGATGAGTAAAATTGTCTGGTGTTAGGCAGTGTAAAATAATAAAGTAGGGTGCATCAGGGAGCATTGCACCCATAGGCCCTCAGGCAGGAATCTAAACTGCGGCCCTGCAGTTCCAGTGCAGCACTCTATAAAGAGGGTGGTGATGGGGTATATTGTGAGTTGTGATTCACTCAATTTCGGTTACCGTCAGTCGTGAAAAAATTAAAAATTTTATTGTTTAGTAACTTTAGTGTGAGAAAAAAGTACTATTTATCATTTCAGAACACTTTTCATTCAACAGATTCAAAGATTTACCATTAAAATACTAACATTTTTACCAAAATTTTTAACAATTAAAATACCAAAATTGTACCGTTTACTGATTTATATCAGACCCCCTCCCCCATCTAGACCCTCTGGACCTCATTGGATCTCATAAACCAATACCATCTAACCACAAGTTCTTGTTTAAAGATAGTGGGTGATGCCAGTATAAGATATATAGTCTGCCGCTCAAAGGTTCCATCTATATAAACCCTTCAACTGTTAGTTCCATCGAGCAAGAAGCCCCAAATCATGATATTTACAATGGGCCATTCCATTTAATATAGGCACCCCCCCCCCTATTGAGGGGTCCCTTCATAATCCCCTTAGGATCTAAAAATTTTAGAACCGGATGCGATTTTTGGAAGTTACCCCATGGATTTCTTTATACCCCCTTTAGGATATCGTTTTTACCCCCTTGAATATCACTAAAACATCTAATTTTTACTATTTTTTGGAAAATTTCTTAAGCTACACTCTAGGAAATTTTAAGGTAAAAAAACCCCTTCCCCCCATAGGATATCCAGACCCCTCAATAGGGGGGGAGGGGGTGCCTATATTAAATGGAATGGCCCAATTTTAATACCTTTTTCACCGCTACAATTTGTCCAGTTTGCTGGTCTTCAGCTTTATAAACGGTAGCAAACTACAAACAGAAATAAGCATTGAGAAGTATAGAATACATCTCTTACATTTTAAAGTTGAACGTCATGAGTTGCGACTAACCTGACCCTCGCCAAGAAAGTCAATTTTCTTATAACGTTTCGAACGATCCGCCATATTGGATCCCGACACAAGTATAGTGTATATATATAGCTCAGTGTTCAACACTGAGCTACATATAAATAAATAAATAAATAAATAAATAAATAAATAAATAAATAAATAAATAAATAAATAAATAAATAAATAAATAAATAAATAAATAAATAAATAAATAAATAAATAAATAAATAAATAAATAAATAAATATATATATATATAAATATATATATATATATATATATATATATATATATATATATATATATATATATATATATATATATATATATATATATATATATATATATATATATATATATATATATATATATATATATATATATATATATATATATATATATAATTACTATTCTTACTTAAAATGTTTTTTTGTCTCTACTCCGAGTTTCACGCATCATTGCGATCATCAGGAGACATTGTTCTCAAATACCGTTTGATTTTCGTTGTTTGATGGCGTGACTGCGCGCGCGCGAGGATTGTTGATGTTGCTTACACGCGCGCAGACTACATTTCCCGCTAAAAATTGTTCTGGTGCACGCACTTCGAGAAGATTTCCGATCTTTTGTTGAGTAGATTTTTGTCGCAAGATTTTAAAATCAGCAGCTTCTCTTGCAAGCATAGGTTGCATCTGGGTCTTCCGCTTGTGTATGGGACAGCCTTCTTCAGAATGGACCAAGTGGTGTTGTAAGGTCTTCCGCTTCTCTTCAATTTCCAAATATGCTTCGATAGCTCCGTTAAGATCGGAAATCTTCTCGAAGTGCGTGCACCAGAAACAATTTTTAGCGGGAAATGTAGTCTGCGCGCGTGTAAGCAACATCAACAATCCTCGCGCGCGCGCGCAGTCACGCCATCAAACAACGAAAATCAAACGGTATTTGAGAACAATGTCTCCTGATGATCGCAGTGATGCGTGAAACTCGGAGTAGAGACAAAAAAACATTTTAAGTAAGAATAGTAATTACATTCGCTCTACAAAATTTTATGTATTGAGCACTCTCTTCACTATACGTTACAAAACTTGTGATATTTTGGCACCTGGAAATCAGTTGTGCACTCTAGTTCGTGTAGCCAACGCTTAAAATGAACAGAATCCTGTTTGATTACTCGCTCAAAAATATTGGAATACCTTCGAAAGACACGTACCGATTACGTCTTATCGAGAAAGTGGAAAGTGTTGTAACCAGAATGAGATGGAAAGCAGACTTCTTTCTAAACGGACAATTAAACAAGTATGAACGAAACAACTTTGGCTTAAAATCGAAAAAGTCGCCACCTCTTGTCAAGGAAATGAAAGGGTTTGAAGAAGATCTCGTCCTTATGGTCGAAAGGTTAAGGTTTCGAGAAGTGAACGACCCATTCCTTACAAAAATTAACAGCGACCTAAAAAAGGTAAATTCTTCAACTAACATGTATATATTCGCTGATAAAACAAGAAACCTTTACGAAACAACGCCAGATCAATACGATAAGATATTGAAAGATAACATTACCAAATCTTATAAACTCGGTGAAACAAACATGTTAAATAACTTGAACGAAGATCTTAGAGACATTGCTATAGATCTTTCAATCGATAACCGTATTGAAACAATGGCAAAACGAGAAGCGTTTGTAACAGCAAAGGACCACAAGGAAAATTTCGAGGACAACCCGAAGTTTCGATTAATAAACCCCGCAAAAAGTGAACTTGGCAAAGTTAGCAAAATTATTCTTGATGAAATCAATAACAAAATCAGGGAACAAACAGGCGTCAACCAATGGAGAAATTCCCAATCAGTGATCGACTGGTTCAAAACCATTAACGATAAACCTAACCACATCTTTATTTCTTTTGACATCGCGGAATTCTATCCATCTATCACGGAAGAATTGCTGGATAAAGCTATATGCTGGGCTCGGACTATTACACCAATCACTGATCAAGAAGAAAAGATTATCAAACACGCACGTACCTCATTTCTGTTCAGCAACAACGATACATGGATTAAACAAAACTCTAAATCTCTTTTTGATGTAACGATGGGCAGTTATGACGGCGCTAAAATATGTGATCTTGTCGGCTTATATATGCTAAATGTCCTTACCAATGAGTTTGGGAAAGAACATGTTGGTTTGTATCGGGATGACGGACTTGTTTTAATCAAAGGAAAGAGCGGGCGCATTGCTGATAAGGTACGGAAAAAGTTGCATACATTATTCGAACAGTTCAACTTGAAAATCACGGCCCAAGTAAACCACCAATCTGTCAACTTTCTAGACGTCACATTCAACCTTGCAGAGGAACGCTACCAACCATATAGAAAACCCAATAATGAACCCATTTACATTGACAGTCGCTCGAACCACCCACCAACCATAATTAAACAACTACCTAAACCAATAAATCACCGTATATCAAATTTATCCTCTGATCAGCAAACCTTCAATTCATCAGCACCAACCTACGAGAATGCATTACGTCGTAGTAATTATGATTTTAATTTACAATACAATACCACGCCTTCAAGTAATATTGACGACCCCAACACTGAGAGTTGTACGTCCAGCCAACCCAAACGCAAAAGACACAGAAACATACTATGGTTTAACCCACCTTACAGCAAAAACGTAGCAACAAACATTGGTAAAACCTTTCTTCAACTTATCGACAAACATTTCCCTAAATCAAGTCGTCTACATAAGGTCTTTAACCGCAATTCAATCAAAATTAGTTACAGCTGCATGAAGAATGTCAAAACAACCATTTCTAACCACAACACGAGAACTAGATCGACCGAACCCACGGCAACAGACGAAATTAACTGTAACTGCCGCAAGAAAGATGAATGCCCCCTCCAGAAGAAATGTCTGACCCAAGCTATCGTGTACCAAGCCGAGGTAAAGAGTCATGACAACGGTGAAACGAAGCGGTATATTGGGGTAACAGCTGGGGAATTCAAAGACAGGTACAGAAACCATAAAAAATCATTCGAGCTTCAGAGATACGCGAACAAAACGGAGCTATCGAAGCATATTTGGAAATTGAAGAGAAGCGGAAGACCTTACAACACCACTTGGTCCATTCTGAAGAAGGCTGTCCCATACACAAGCGGAAGACCAAGATGCAACCTATGCTTGCAAGAGAAGCTGCTGATTTTAAAATCTCGCGACCAAAATCTACTCAACAAAAGATCGGAAATCTTCTCGAAGTGCGTGCACCAAAAACAATTTTTAGCGGGAAATGTAGTCTGCGCGCGTGTAAGCAACATCAACAATCCTCGCGCGCACGCGCAGTCACGCCATCAAACAACGAAAATCAAACGGTATTTAATTGAGAACAATGTCTCCTGATGATCGCAGCGATGCGTGAAACTCGGAGTGGAGACAAAAAACATTTTAAGTAAGAATAGTAATTACATTCGCTCTACATAATTTTATGTATTGAGCACTCTCTTCACTATACGTTACAAAACTTGTGATATATATATATATATATATATATATATATATATATATATATATATATATATATATATATATATATATATATATATATATATATTTTCCTGCCAGGGACGTATATTTGCATTTTTGGCAACTGTTCCTGTTTAAGTGTAATAAATGTATATAAATTTCCACTCAATAATTTCAGTCTACAAGACCCACAATATAGTATGTATTGTATGGTACAACAGTACAGAATGTACAACATTCCACACAGTACTGCATGGCTCAACAATATGCACCATGAAGTGCCCTACTGTAGTGTGTATGTACTTGTATGTAAATTTCAAAAGTACATACTGTATGTCTATATTGTTCTTAGTGGTTCTTGATACATTTAATGTTGTGTTCTGCCAAACTCTCCTGTACTATGCGGTTCTGTGTTATATATAATTTATATACTATATTGTGAGGCCATGCATACTACATTATTTTGCTCTATACTGTATTGTGCCATTCTGTTTTCTTCTGTTTTGGCTGCCTTCTGTGTGAGCCATACTACACTAGAACATGCTTTTCTCTGTCATATTGTTCTGTTTTATAGAGTACTGTATATAGTGTATTGTACTACTCTGCGATACTGGTCTGTCTTGGGCTGTGGTAATGTAGATTATGGAACAGAAAAATACAGAATGGCACCACAGTATAGTATAAATATACAGCACCACACAGTAGTGTCAGTACACCAGTACAGTAGTCAGTAGCTACTACAATATGTTGGCAGAACCCAATTAATGTTGAAAGTATGGAACCAACCTGTCAATATAGACATAAAGGATGCACTCATATTACATTTTTTACTGCAGTCTCGACAAAAGTAGCATGCAGACAGTACACTATTATACAACAGTATGATTGCAACAATAAAACCATCTATATAATAAACATAAAAGTATAAAACATCTTACAATGGGCAGTCAATAGGGCCCATTATAAAAATGTCGTATTATATCAAGAATACTTACTTCCAGAAAGATTATAATTGTCTCTCGCAGTGCGATTTTTTGTCCCACTTTCGGCATATTTCGCCGTACATGCGGACATATTACAACTGGAATATATAAAATCTACAAATCTTTTAGTTGCTTACATTTGCCTGGGATACGCAAAGTGCCGGGGAAT